TTAATGTTCACGAATTTGTTAATGAAAATCACCCCCAATCTTCTCGTTTCTTGACAATTTAACAGATGTAAACGTAGCTTTGGAAACATTTTATAACATTCTTCGTAAAATTTTTAATATGTGTGTCCCTAGGACATGTCTCAGATCTCTCAAATTTTCAGTTTGATTTAACGGTGAAATGATTAGAGACACTAAAAGAAAAAAATTGCTACACAAAAAGTTTAAAAAGGATAAAAGTTTGATCACATACACTGAGTTCAAAGACTTAAGGACCAAAATTAAGCGCGATGAGCGTAACGCATATCAAAAATATCCAAAGTAGCCTATCTCAGGATCCGAACAATTTTTGGTCATTTATCTGTAATAAAAGGGGACAAAATTCCACAATCAGCCAAGTAAACTATAATGGTAAGAAGTATGACAAACCCAATGAAATTGCTAATGCTTTTGCGCTATTTTTTCAATCTGTATATACTATGCCCTGGAACGCAACTGATATCAATATTTCGGACTTGCATACTAACATAATACTTCAGAGCTTTTCCGAAGAAGAAGTTTTTACAGTGTTAAAGCAAATGAAAAATAAATTTACCTCCGGACCCGATGGAATCCCATCATTTTTAGTACTCAGTCAGTCTCCTCTGCATTAGATGCTAATAGCCAGGTAGATGTAATTTATACAGATTTTAGTAAAGCATTTGACAAACTTGATCACAGTATTCTGTTACCGAAGCTGAGCTATTTTGGATTCTCCCCCAAGCTGTTATCCTTTCTTAAGTCATATCTATCAGGAAGAAAGCAATATGTTGAATATGAGGGTGTCAAATCCATTGAATTCCTCCCAACCTCAGGGGTACCTCAAGGCTCCTGCTTAGGTCCTTTGCTTTTCATACTGTTCATAAACGATATTGTTAGCGACATCGACAGCAGCCACTTAATCTATGCTGATGATTTGAAAATTTTTTCCAATGTCGACTGCAGCACTGACTGTGCTCACTTACAGAAAGACCTAGCCAAAATAGTTAAATGGTGTGCTGTAAATCGACTTCCAATTAACTACAGTAAATGTAGTGTTATGTCTTACACCAGAAAGCTAGATATTATTGCATTTGACTACAGAATTGACAATCATTCTCTGATGAGAGTACAAGAATGCAAGGATCTGGGTGTGATTTTTGACATGTCACTTAGCTTCAATCCTCATATTGAGTACCTTATTAATGCTGTCAACAGATTACTAGGATTTGTAATACGTAACTCAAAGGAATTAAGTAACAAAGATGCCATGATTATACTTTATAATTCATTCATACTATCTAAATTAGAATATGGACGGCTAATATAGAATCCATGCTGTGTTACAACTTGTGGCTCTCTGGAGAAGATTCAGCGGAAATTTCTGAAATTTCTTTCATTCAAAATTGACGGTACGTACCCACCCATTGGGGTCCCACAGGAAGACCTGTTACGTAAGCACAAGTTTATCAGTCTTGATAACAGAAGAAAGATTCACTCGCTAATATTCCTGCATAAAGTAGTGCATAGCAGTTATGATTGTCCATCATTTCTAGCACCGATTAAATTTAATGCTCCAAAATTTGTTACTCGCAATACACTCACTTTTTACCTACCTATCCCACGAACTAACTTACTGTTGCACTCACATTTGTACTCGATGTGTTCATGTTATGATAGTCTACAGAGTACATTTGATTTGTTCAACACAAGTATTTCGAATATTAAGAGAGTTTGCAGTGAAATGATTTAGTTTTTAGTTCTCGTTGTATTTTTATATGTTTTTTCTACTATTTCTATTGTTGTTTTGCCACCAGTAATTGGTTAACACTGTTGGTGGTGGATTTCAATAAATAAAATAAATAAATAAAAAACAATGTTCTTGCGTCTGCGCTGCATAGGAAAAAGATTCAACACCAGTTATCACAAGATTCCCTAATACGTACTTTCCTTTAGAGCATGGACTGATTAAATTTTCTACGTTTTTTCTTCATTATGCCATGCAGTGTTGACCTAGGGGTTCCCAAAGCGACGGAATGCTTCCGTAAAGAACGCCGAGGATTTGCAATGACCGAATCACTTGCTCGACGCACATTTTCTTCTGTTGATACAGTATTTGTGGGGCCAGGAATGGGTTGACTAAGAGTAGAGCCTGTTTTACGGAACCTCTTTTTCAATAGGTTCTTACTTGGGGCATTTCTTGATCGGCGAATGTTGTATCGTTTACATAGCTGCGTATGAGTCACCACTCTTAAAGTAAGCCTCGATAGCAAAAGCACGTTTTGCTCTGGTCCATCGTTCCATTGTGACTATTTAGCCCGCATGCCAAACGCGTCGATCAAGACTTCTCCCCACTTCCTCGCGTATAACTTATTCATGTTTCGTACACTACGTATATCACTGTGCGTTTTGTATAGATTCAAATTGTTGTGTACATAATATAAGCAGATAAATATAGGTGTATATAGAGATGGAAGAGTAGGAATCCTTAGATTGATGAATGGCTCCCTACATGGCTGCATATCACTCAAAAATGCGATAACTCCGATGCAGCGCCTTTGTAGCGTAAATATTTTAGATAAATGCACAGAGTGATCTCAGTTCAACAGTGCATATGTCATTCTTGAGTAGAAGTATCCATAATATGAGGTTACTGAGAATACTGTTTACATGTTCCTCCCAAGTCATGTGTGCATCAATACTGACATGCAAAAATTTTACTGTGACTATGGTATTGATACAAACTTATTTCCATGGTCTGTGTTTCTGAAGCATTAAGTGTCAGTTTATTGGCAAAAAAACAATTTTCTTAATTTATTATATATTCAATATTCAATAATCGATTTGCTACTACAGAACAATGTTGTGTCATCATCAAATAGTATGAGGTTTTATTTGTATTACAATTAGGAAGGTCATTTATGTATATCAAGAATAAAAGTGGACCCAGGACAGAAGCCTTGTGGGACGCCGCACTGAACTGTCATTGTACTGGAGGTAGTTTTTTTGAAGGTTACCAGCGGTTGTCTGTTGCCCAAATAAGATGACAAGATCCTAATGCACATCAGCGGCTTCTCCCGAGATCCCGCATTGCACACCGGCAGAGCTTCAAGGTAATATTAAAGACCTCAAGGTGCGTAAAGCGCCTGGGGAGGATCAAATGACTAATAAGGCGCTGAAGCTGCTTTCACAAAAGTCCTTGACTTATTTCGTGGCTACTGTCAATGCCATGCTAAAGACAGAGTACTTTCCATTGGCGTGGAAGACTGCGGAAGTTATAATGATTCCAAAGAAGGTGGGTTCGATATTTCCCCAGGACTATCGTCCCATCAGCCTACTATCTGCTCTGTCTAAGCTCGCTGAAAAGGTGATTTCACGTCACCTTGCGAATTGCTCGTCAGATCAGCATGTGATTCCTGACGTGCAATTTGGATTTCGGTCTGAGTATAGTACGGAGTTACAGACGGTTAGGTTTGTGGAGCGAGTAACCAGAGGCTTCACCCTTAACGAAAGTACTGGCATCTTGCTTCTGGATGTCTCTGACAAGATATGGCACAAGGTCCTTCTCTATAAGTTAATTCAAAAGGGCTTTCCATTTTGGCTCCTAAACCCTTTGAAATACTTCCATGAAGGTAGGATATTTTGGATGAAAATTAATAGTTTCTTGTCGACAGTACGGCCCATCGGTTCTAGGGTCAATCCTTTACTCACTTTTCACGCATGATGTCCCTTGCCTTAACGACTTTGACGTCTATCTATATGCTGATGACGCTGCACTAGTGGCGCAGTCGCGTACCGGGAATTGGGTTCACGACAGGTTACAAACTGCGGTTGATTAGGTATCGGAATGGGCAGATCGATGGCTAATCAACGCAGGCTATCTATTGTACTAAAAAACGAAGCGGCGTCCCGCCTGAGGTTTCAGTGAAGGGAGCTCGCATACCATGGGAAAATTCTGCTAACTATCTCGGTGTCTCTCTCGACAGGGGGATGACCTGGCAGAATCACACTGAAGCGTTAAAAACTAAATTCCAAATTACGTTTCGGCAACTCTACCCTTTGATATGTAGAACTTCAAAATTAAGTTTGGTTAACAAAGTTCGGCTCTACAAAATGGTTATCAGACTGGCAATCACTTACACATATGCGTAACCAGCAGGTTTTTCAGAACAGAACCTTGCGAACCATCACTAACGCACCGCGGTATGTCTCCAACGAGACACTTTACAGAGATCTCGACATCCCTTACCTAAGCGACTACATCAAACATCGGGCGCAGTTACGTTATAGTCAATCGGAATCGCACAGCAACCCTCTGTTGCGTGAGTCTGTAGACTACACAGTCAAGCAAGTTCGCAAGCACACAAGACCGCGGCTCGCACTGAGATCAAAATCAAATCGTGCAATTCTAGGTCCAACCAAAATTACGATTCTTGGCACACAAAATTAATTTTTGGATTAATTGAACCGGCGCACTTCACCCTCTTTGGCTCTTCTCCCTGCCTTCCTTTCTTTATACTTCCTTTCTTTCTGACGGACAATGAGGAATAGAAAAAAGATCCTAATGCTACTACCATGGAACTTGTAATGCGACAATTTTTGTAGAAGAATGTCATGCTAGACACAATCGAAGGCCTTAGGAAGATAAAAAAAATCACCTAAGCAATAAGCACCACTTTCAAAAGCTGCATTTATTTTCTCAATGAGCCGTCAATAGCTAAAAAAACTAAAACCGAATCGACAGTACAACAACCTATATAACAGTCTTGAGCATTGATCACAAAAAAAAATACCTGCTCCTGGTATATACGCAAAGTGTGGGAAACATCATACCCAATCTTCTGGAGAAGTAACCATACACGAGATAACACCAGTAAGTACTTAGAGAAACGTTAGCAGCTCTTCCGAGGACGAACCAAGCATTTTCGGTCATTTTTCTTTAACATCTCCCGAAATTGTGTCAGAAAAGTCACATTTTTGTCAAGATATATCAACTTTCAACCGGGCCTATACATGAGGTGTTTATCCGATATGACTAGACGAAAAAAGAAGGATGAAGAAGAGCAACAAGAAGATAAAGATGAAAGTTATTTATTCAAGAATAATGCAAATACTACTATAGAGCAAGAAGTACAGTGCCTGAAGAAGCTATTAGAAACAAAGAATGAAATAATTTTAGATAAAGAGAGGTATATCAATCAATTAGTTAATGAGAACAGACGTTTACAGGAGCATTATGAATTGATCACTAACAGTATTGTGGATAAAGAAACCATAATCACATCTTTGGGGAAAATAAATGAAAGAGTTGAAAAAATAGAACAGAGCCTGAACATCCTCAAAGCGGTTAACAGGTACAAATGGGGAGCTGATCCCAAAATAAATATCTTATTCTATAGATGCTATACAAGATCGATATTAGACTATGGATGTTTCTTATATGGTTCAGCTACGAAGACTCGCCTTGCCAAGCTCGATAGGCTACAGTATAAAGGTCTAAGGTTAGCCTTGGGGGCTCTGAAATCTACTCCAACAGCTACTCTGTTAGCAGAGTGTCAGGAACCTCCATTACACTTGAGAAGGTTATTCTTAGCAGAAAAGTTCATTATAAAATGCAGCTTCAATGACCAAACTGCACTCACAAGAAAAGTAGCTCAACTAACCACCCTCAACTTGACGCTTCCATGGTGGCAAAATAAAAACTCTCCTACACTTGCTGAAGCATACCCCAACATCTCTCTGTACAACATAGAAGGAGATAATATACCATTTTTCAAGTCTCAATACAATATTTCATTCTCAAATTTAGAGACATACATCACCGTTGCTGAAAATCCTCCCATCATGAAGCAATTACTCCACGATCTACTACAAAAATTTGTGACTCCTTGTAGAATCTACACAGACGGATCCAAATCTGAGCAAGGCGTAGGGTGTGCTGTATTTATAGAAGACGAGAAAGTGTCTCTAAAGTATAAACTGGATCCCATCTGCTCTATATTCACCGCTGAGCTAGCAGCCATAGATCTGGCTCTTGAGTGGGTAGTCTGCAATCGTCCGTCATACCAAAAATTCATTATTATGTCAGACTCACAATCAGCTATACGCGCATTACAAAATGCGCCTTTTCACATATACCACAACAAAACCATCGTCTCAATACTGGAGAAGGAGTCTCAATTAAGACAACTAAGGAAATCGGTGGCATTTATATGGATAAAAGGTCATGCAAGAATTGAGGGGAATGAAATGGCAGATCGACTGGCTAAGGTAGCCGCCTCGTCCGGAGAAGAAAAACAATACGTAACTAAAACTGACATAGCCTCGTCGAGGAAGCTTAATATGAAAAAGAGCTGGCAAATGGAATGGACTAATTTCTGTACCAACAATAATAACCAATACTGCAAAATTTATCCAAACCTCCCTGACTCCCCAATAGAGCTCAGAAGCCACGTCAATAGGAGAGTACACTCAATGTACTTCAGATGTTTGGTCGGACATGCTACAGTAAAAGCTTACCTGCACCGCTTTGGTCTCGAAGAATCGGATACATGTAGCTGTGATGGGAATAGGGATGATATCAATCATTGGTTGTTCCAATGCAAATTCAACTCAACCGCTTCAGTTTATATGATGAGTGAGCTGGCTACACTTGGTGTTCCATTCCAAGTCAAACCTCCCTTCTGTATTCAAGCACTCACAATTCATCAATTCGAAAAACTCTATGGGACTTCTTCAAGAGAGCCAGACGGAAAATATAATTAACGAGTTACACGAATTTAGAATTCAGTGAGATTGTCGTGTGACTTGAGTTATTTTTACCTGTGTTTTTGCCTATCTGTTATTAAACCTACCAACCGTTGCCTGTGTTGTCTGTCTTTAAAGTCGTCATGACCGGCACCTTGACGTGAAACGTGTATCCCCGTTCCTCCCTAATCTTGGTTCTTCTATTATAATTTCCTGGTTTTGAGTAGGGCCCTGTTACCTGTATGTATGTGGATCTATACAATATTGCTAGCAGCGGATCTATATGTTTTATTATAAATTTGAGCATGTTTATATCACTCTCGTGGCCGAATAGGCTAGAACTCCTAAGGCCAGTAAAAAAAAAAAAAAAAAATAGAAGCTACCACCTCATACACCCTTTATAATGATGTAATTAAATCATATAGTGGGGCTGTAAAAGAGTAAAAAAAAGCAGAGATGAGAAGATTGTAGATAAAATTAATAATACACAAAAGTTGATGATAAAAAGTACAAACAAATCAAATTCTAATGTGTTGGAAAATTTGAAGAAGAGCATTGATAAAGCTAAGTCACATATCTGTGTGAACTCTGTGAGGAGGGTGAATAATGGCATAATTCTTAGCTGCGAAAATAAAGCATCATTGTCCAAGCTGATGGCGAGTATACAGGGAGAACTCGGTGCGAACTTCACTGTCAATGAGATCAAGAAATATCGCCCACGCATGGTGGGCATCTGAGGGATTAATCGAGAAGATCTTATCCCAGAATGAATTTGGTATTTTTAGTAGTGATGATATAAAAACTGTAACCACTTTCAGATGTTCCGAATCTACTTTAAATGTTGTCATTGAGGTCAGCCCAAAATTTAGAAAAATGTTGCTAGATAGAGGTCATATATACATGGGTTGGCAAAGATGTCCTGTGCGGGATTATTTACGAATTATACGCTGCTATAAATGTTCAGGTGTTGGCCACATGCAAAAAAATTGCATACATTCTGAAGTATCATGTCCTTTATGTGCTGGAGATCATTTGGAAAAAAATTGTAAATCTGCTTTTAAGAATTGTTCAAACTGTATGAATCACAATTCTAAATTCAACACTCAATTTATTACTAGTTATTCTTCTAAAGACTTAGATTGTCCAACTTATAAAAAACATGTTACATACTTGAAATCTAGAATTGAATATGAATAGTGATAAATTCAGGGTTTTAAAATTTGGTCATATAAACTGCAGATCAGTTTTATCAGGATTTCATGAATTTAGTAGTTCAAAAGAATAACCTTGATATTGTTGGAATATCGGAAACGTGGCTATCAAAAAATATATCTAATGACCATATAAGAATGAATGGATACAACTGCTATCGCTGTGATAGAGATGGGCGAGGTGGTGGGGTTGCAGTCCTTGTAAACAACCACTACAACTCTTCCATAATTTCATTTGGGCAAGGCCCAAGTCTTGAATATATATGGTTGAAGGTGCAGCTTCCAAAACAAAAAATTGCTATTGGTATATTCTATCGGCCCCCACATAGCTCTGTTACAGAAGCCGGTAATACCTTTGATAACATGTTGCCTGCCATATTAGCTGAATATGATGATATCATCCTTGCAGGGGATATCAATCTTAATTTGCTTTTAGTTTGTAACAAGTTGACTAAATGCCTTGATTCTTATAATCTGAAATAGGTGATATCTGAACCGACTAGGATATCTGAATCGACACTCACTCTCTTAGATCCTATTTATTTGAGCAATCCTGAAAGTTAGCTTAGGCACTATTAATGCTGATATGATTACTGATCACTATTTGACCTTCTGTGATATACGTATTGCACTTCCTAAAAATCAACAGAAATTTGTGACATTCAGGGATTTCCATAGTTTAAATGAAATAGCGTTTGAACAAGATCCCAAGAGGTTTCCATGATGGCATATTATATCGATAGATGACATTGAAGATAAAATTAACTTTTTAACAGATAGTATTTTATGTTTATTTAATGTTCACTGTCCAAAAAAGGTAGTGCGTGTAAACAAAGCTCCAGCTCCTTGGTTGGATGATAATATTAAACTTGTATTCACGCAGAGAGCTGAAGCTTTGTCAACGTTCAAACGTGAGCGTACAGCCGCCTCTTGGCAACAGTATACATATTTCAGAAATCGTGCATTAGCGCTCGTGCGAAGAGGAAAAAGAGATTATTTACAAGCTGTTCAAAATCAGGATATAAAAAAGTTTTGTAAGACCCTAAAGACTTTCAAAGTACAATCTCAGAAAGATTCTACAATTCCCGTGAGCTTGTCAGATCCGTATAAAATAAATGAGGCATTCATTTCAATTTTCGAGAATAGTGATTTGACTTGTGTTGATAAAATTGCATATTACCGAGCTAATAAAAATAACTCAAAATTCAAATTTCAATTTAATAAAGTGACTATTGACACCGTTGTTAAAATTATACATAAAATAAAATCAAATTCTAGTGGTACAGGTGGAATAACTTTGCATATGATACTACTATGTATACCTGAAATTGATGTGTACTTAACGAATATTATAAACTGCTGTTTAGAGAGGGGATATTTCCCCAATCAGTGGAAACGCGCTATAGTTATTCCGCTACCTAAATGTTCTGATCCTACTAACTACGGTCAACTGAGACCGATCTGTCTACTGCCAAAAGTATTGGAACGCGTTGTTTACGAACAGCTCTGCGCCTACTTATATTCTAACAAAATTATTCCATCTAAACAATCTGGATTTCGACAAGGTCATAATACAGCTTCGGCACTCTGTGATTTAAGAGACAATATAACAATGGCACTTGATAACCAAAAAGCAGTAGCTCTCATACTTTTTGACTTTACTAAAGCATTTGACACCATTAATCACTCACTTCTTGTATCTAAATGCAGTTATTATGGATTTTCTGAAAAACTTCTTTCGTTTATTCAAACCTACCTTGAAAATCGGTATAAAAAAGTTCGTCTAAATCAACAGTACTCTACGGAACAAAAACTTTGTTCTGGTGTACCACAGGGATCAGTCTTAGGACCGCTATTATTTTCATTATATATCTCAGATTTAGAAACAGAGGTAAAATCATGCAGCATACAATTTTTTGCAGATTATACTCAAATTTTCTATTCATTTAGGAGTAATGACTTGGAAACGGCAAATAATAAAATCAAACCAGATCTTGCCCAAATTGAAAAGTTCAGTAGTAGTCATAATCTTCGTTTGAACCCTTTGAAGACAAATATGTTGGTATACGCAAATAGAACAAAAAAGAATACCTTAAAAAAGGACATAGACATACATTTAAAAGGTAATAAATTAATTCCTGTGGATCATTCGAAAAACCTAGGTATTATAATGGATGATGACTTAAAATTTGTTGCACACGTGAACTATCTAATTACTCAGTGCTACGCTATTCTCAGAGCAATTGTGTGAATATTTCGTGTTTTCAAAGATATCGTATTGCTTAGTGGTTTACTATCCCTATTTAGATATTATAACAAGAAATCGTATTCAAAGGATTATGAATACATGTTGCAGACTTGTAAATGATCTCAGAAAATATGATCATATATCGAATGCCATTAATGAACTCAAATGGATGAAAATTGATAAATTGTATAAGTACCAGCTCCTAAATCTGACTCATAAGGTTCTTTATTCAAAAACACCGTCATATTTAGTAAACAAATTCATACGTAGAGGGATTATGCATCGTATTAATATTAGATATAGAGAGACTTTTTCAATTCCACGCCACAGCACGTCTATATTTCAGAATACATACATTTACAATGCGATCAAATCATATAATTCACTAGACCGCAGTTTAAAAGAAACCAATCCATTATCCAAATTCAAGAAAAAAGTGAAAGAAGTTCTTGATCAGCAGCGAAATCGGTTGTAACCCATAAGTGTCCTCATATTTTCCTTATGTATTTACTTGGATTACACTTTATTCTGTAGTTATTGTATACAGGTGCCTATTAATTTTCAACAAATTCTTTTTTTTTTACATCTCGTGTTGTTAAGGGGGTTAGATGGTAGAATAGATTTATAATCTAAATCTCGCCTCCTGTAAGAATATTACAAATAAAAGACGTTAATTATTATTATTATTATTATTATTATTATTATTATTATTATTATTATTATTATTATTATTATTTTTTTTTTTTTTTAATCCCACGGCGTCGACTGCTGAGGTCATTTGCCGTATCCCTCCTCCCATATAGGTCATTAATTCTCACCCAGGGGTAGATCTGGGTGCTTCTTTTCGTTTCAGGGAAAGTCTCAATAGCATATTTGATTTATTTGTGTACGTAATATGTATGTTCCTTTCCATCTTTCAGATATTCCTCAGCAGCTGTTTTGTACATTCGTGTACACACATTCGTATTCAGGCAAGATACACAGGTAAGTAAGTACTTTCCTACAACATGTAGTATAGATACTGATCCATATTTGTTTTGTTCCAGGGCATCCCGGATCATAGGTTTCCTATGTGTTGGGTCAATTCGTTATAAAATAAGGTTCGTTCTTCACTTGGAATTACAATTTTCAAATTTTTTTAAATATATTTATATCTTTCAGGTAATCTAAGACTCGCAGGATGTGGGCCTCATCTTTGAAGCACTCGGGTATTGTGTTTGGTATACGATAGCGTTGGCGAGCCTGATAATAGGAAGGACATTCGAGCAGAACGTGTTCTATGGATAGTTGGTTGTTGCATGTTCTGCATCGAGGCGGGGGATTCGCTACGATAAGATGGAGGTGTGTGAGATTTGTATGTCCTATTCGCAAACGCGTTAGGACAACTTGTTCCCGTCTTGATAACGAGGAGGGTAAGTACCACTTGTTGATGTGTTGTTTGTGTACTTTCAATTTATCATTTCCTTGGCTCCAGGTGCGTTGCCATTCATCCAGTATTTTATTTTTCAGGTGTGCTTTGAGATCACTTGGGTGGACAGTGCGGTCTTCTAGTGAAGCTG